CGTTGTATGTGGGCAAGAAAAGATTCTCATTGTTTAACCACCAATCTTGTTGGCAATTTCAGTGCTGCAACTGGATGTCAAAGGAATACAGTGGATAGAGAGCAATAGTCAACATATTTTGTGGTGCTGTCATTCATATTTTGTTCAATAATAACAAATACACAAATACATTCATTAAAGAGAACCAACTGGTCTGAGAAATAGAAACCTGGAAGTTTCTGGTGTACATAAACGTATACACATACATAGATATTTGTATCTTGAGCAATGATATGAAGTTCTTTTTATCATTTGGGTTGATCTGCACAGAAAATGTTATATTTCCTGATGAATTTTCTTAAATAGAAGCCCCCAAGATAAAAAACTTTGGGATTGTAGTACCATTTTTTTTTTTTTTGAAGTTCAGTTAAGTTTCATTTTTCTCAGAACAACAAATAACCGTTTGGTACTTGTATCCAGATTTCACATTTTCCTTTTCAATAAAAAARGAGATTCCATCAGAAAAGGTATTTTTAAATGAAAAATTTCAGCTAGACTTGGGATATTATCACACTGAGGCTGAGGAAATGCTGTAGTTTGACCAAAATGATGTAGAGACTTCTAGAACAACAGAAAAGATTATTTGGCCWATGTAGTGGGTTAGATTACAGGATTCTATAGGTTGTAATGGCCTTAATGTTCATTAATAAAGAGACACACGGACTGAACATAGTGCTGACAGTCACTGTCTGAACTTACCCCAGAKCTTTAGCTTTGGGAATGGTGTTGTGGCAGCTGCATGTGCAGCACAGGAACCCATGGCTGCAAGAATGTGTCATTGGGAGTGAGGGCAATTGCAGACTCTCAGGCAAGAAGCGAGTATTTTTTGTTCTGTTTTGAAGCAGTAAGGGTCCTCTGTCTTTCTCATTTTACTGCTGGTAGCTAAACAATATTTTGAATCTCACAGATGATAGGAATACAAAACCTAGAATTAGCTAAAAAGCACACTTCTACATGGGTCTTTCATTGATAGGTTTCAAAATCTATTTTTGTAGAACAAAATACCTCCAGAGATATCTATTTCTCTCTCTGATTATAATCAAGAAATTTAGATGACAAGCATTTAGATTACAAGTGCAGACATAGTACCTAAACTTTGAGACCTCTCAAGTTAAATGAGGCAAGTCCTATCTCAGGTGTTTAGTCTATTGAGATTTGCATTACAATTAATGAAAGGGACAGGCATGCCCAGAAGGTGATTCATTCCATCCTACCCTAACATAGATATCTAAGAAAAGGAATGCACAGATCTCCAGAAGTGTCTCTTCTTTCTCCTTTGTGGAAGAGTCCTAAAGATGTTTACAATAGATTCAATACCTTTAGACTGTTAAATCAAATGAATCAAACACTGCTTCTTACCTTATTTCCCTATATGTAAAGTGGATGTGCTAGCACGTTTTTAACCCTTCCAGAAATTAATCCACAAGAATAATTACTGAAGTGCCCTGGTTGAGTGAGGTAGTCAAAAGTAACGTTATTTTGACCTTGGTTCTGTCTTGGTTAGATTGGGGCTGCTATGATTTTAGGTATGAAGTGGTGAGAGCTCAGAGGAGACTTCATTCTGTGTGGGTGGACAGAGAAGGCCATATCTTAGATGTGCTGTGCAGCAAGACTTTTCAAATTTGGCTGTCACCCGGATGTGAAGACACAGAGAGAAAAACTGAGCTRAAGATGATGCCTAGGTAGGATCATAACTGACAGGTAGGATGATAATGTTGTCCACAGTGACTGAGAATGGAGGCGGAGGAGAGGGGAAACAGTGTTTGGGAGGAAAAGTCTAAGAGATCTGTCGCATACACATTCAGCTTGATCTGACAGTTATACATACACTAGGAGATGTTGGAAAAAGAGGCCAAGATTTTAGTTTGAACATCAGTCAGTCAGACCTGGAGAAGTTGGATCTGCAAGTTGTCACTATAGAGAAATAATAGCTGAATATGTGTTGGTRGATAAAACTGCTATGGGCAAGGCTTGTAGGGAGAAGGGAAGAGAACCAAGCCAGGAGACCCACTTTTGCCTCCATATGGATAAATAAGAGACAGGAGAGGATAGAGTCAACAAAGCTGACGGTAAATGGTCTATAACTGTTATAAATATATTATAAATACAAACAAGAGTACATGAAAATTTTGACTCCCACAAAAACATTTAGAGGAGAACATGAAGGTCAAGTAAAGTGCTCTCCAAGAGTTGACAGGGAGTATAATTTAAAAAGACCAAAAAGGCACTCTTGGTGTCTTAGTGCGGAAGGAACTTCGGGCCTGCTTAGAAGTAAGGGATTTGGGTAAAGTCATTACTCAAAATAATYGCTTTGTGTGAAAATTTAGTTTCATTGTTGCTTGGTCTGCAGTGGAGGTGGGCCCCTAGGAGCGTCTCTCTTGGAGAAGTGGGTTTGTGACAGATGACAGTCAGGCACCTGTCCAAGGAAAGGTTAAATAAATAAATAAATAAATAGAAACTTTCATAAAAGAAAGTTGCCTTTTGAAACTATTAGGCAACATATGTTGTGTGAACAGGAAGTCACAGTAGAGCAATAATCCTGACAGCTGTGGAGAAACAGGAGTCTGCCGCAGGAATGAATGGCTCGAGACCTGACAAGAATGATGATGGATGCCCCGTTGGTAGTACACGAGGACAAGGCAAGAGACGTTTAAATTGGCTGAACCACAGGAACAACTTTGAGCTGGCATCGCAGCCGGACAAATGAGGCCAATCCTAATGGTGAGAGAAATGGGAGGGGGTCTGAAAGAAGATGGCAGCAACACATCCCTCCTTTCCAAGGACAAGGGCTACATCGCTGTCTCACCACGAGGTGGCTGCATTTCTCTGTGAACATCCAGACCCTGAAAGAAGCTGAACAACCTGAACTTCCATAAAAGACAATGGGGAAAAAGAGATCATTTGCAGGAGTTGGCCCATCTCTTTCAAAGCATCCAAAGCATTTTGAGGACCTGTAGGAAGAAAGCAGTGTGTGCACGTTGTCTTCATCAAATGCTAGTCACTCGACAGCTCCTAACTTGTTAGCTGAGCCATGGTAACTGCTGCCCATAGCTCATGGGTGATACAAGGCAATGCAACAACACTACACTCAAATAAAGAGGATTAAACTAAAAAACGTTCTCCTTACATTTTCTGTGAAATGAGAGTATGCATATGGACAGTTACTGAGGTTTGGCTGATCCATGGAAACTTGCCAAACCATGAAAACTTAATTGTGAATTTGAATTCTATGTATGATAAAGGTCAAACTGTGATGCTTTTTCAGATGGCCAGATTTGATTATTCAAGAACCCTTCTATAAAAGGTATTTGAATCACATAAGTCATCAGGAAAAATGGCTCCATAAGAAACTGACTTATGAAATCGACTTGCACATTCTGAATTCAGTTGACTTCAGCAGGATGGAAATTTGCTCCCAAGTCTTCAAAAGATGGGTATTTTTTTTCCTGTGAAATGTGTTGAAAACAGGAATAAAATGACTGAGGAAAGGTAAGGTTGTTGTGTGCATATCAGAACTAGATAAATGCTTTAACATCCCTTGGGTTTTATTTTTTCTTCCTGGTCTTCCTTTTACCTCTGGCAATACCTGAATTTGTAGAGTTTTCTGGGGACAGGCACGGACATTTTACTGCACTTCTTTGTAGTACCACACCTTGTGGAACTGCAATGGCTGGTGTCAGACATTATCACTTTGAGTCAAAGATTCAAAGAAAGTCACTGAAAGTACCATTTTGGACATCTTGCCTGAGACAGGTCATAGTATTTCACTATGGGATATCAGCATCAAGTCCAATAATTATTCGAATCCTTTAGGAAGAGATTCCCAGTCTTGATTGTAATACTTCAAAAAATTGAGGACATCTCTTTAAAGAGGGTGTCTTTAATGCTCACTGTTAGACACTTTTTTTCATCTAGCTTTGGAGAAAAAGAGATCTTGCTAATTTGCTACTATCAAAAACTTTTCTCCTCTTTCTGCCATAAAGACCTTTCCTCTTTACTCCCTGCAAAGCTGGAGAGACAATCTGCCAGTCACATGTATCCAGCTTCTTTGGATAAATTAATAAATGGAGAATCGAGAGTCTCACTGAAAAGGAGATGTTCGCAATCTTAAACATTTTTGTTGAGCTTTCCTGTATATTTTCCAAGTTGCCAGCATATTTCTTAGCCTTTCATTATCTACTGTGTGAATAATTAGTAATAAAAATACTGATACACTATAATACACTACTGATAAACTGAACATACTGGACCAGATCGCCTTTTCTTACTGACACTAGAATGCCTTACACTGCTGTTGGTCTGCGTGATGGTGTACAAGTACCCTTTTGCAGAGAAAATACATTTCCATTTTCCTTCTACCTTCCTGAACTATCAGGCTGGAAACTCCATCACAGTAGTTACTAGTCTAAGTGGAGCGATCCCTCAAAGGTTTCTTGGAAGATTCAGCAGCTGGTTTGACTGTCTTTCAAAAGYTGGATGTAGGGATCACATTCAGGCTGAGGTAGACACTCCTGCCATAGCAGAAGGCCTGTGTGAAGTACCCATTACAGTGTGGCTTGTCTCTAAATTCTAATGACAAGGTGTATGTACAATGCTACATGCAATTTCAACTTCATTCAATACACTGAAACTTAACAAGTTACACTTGTGGTGAGCTTGACCCCATGCTTTTGGCACTTGCAACTCCTATGTCTTTTTTTCAGGTCATCAAAGTGGCTGGTGCCAGGCCACAGCACCCCTTGAGGTTGCGCGTGTGTGAAACGACAACGTCATCCCAGCAGTCCCGCTGACTCCCTAAACACAAAGGCCCTGTATGGCCAAGCCGTTATTCATCTTTCCTGGAAGATGAATGGCAGAGAAGAGATGAATCACCTCTCCTCCTCAGTCAGGCCTTAGGGCAGCAAGGGCTGGGCCCATCCACTGGCTGCTTTTTCCTTCCTCCAGATAACAGAGCTACTCACCGGCATTGTCTGGCTGCCATGCAAGGCGTTGATGGCTGCTTGGGCCTCTGCATGTGAAGAATATTTCACAAATGCACACCCTGGAAAGGAAAAGCATACGAAAGAGTTGTACATTTTTGTATTTTATTGTGTGAAAATGCATTTACTTTTATTCTGATTAAACTTGCTGCCTGGATATTTTGCTCAATGCCCCTCCCTCTTGTGTTTCATGAGAAACAGCAAAGAACTGTATAAAACTGCTATCAGAAAGCAGCACATTTATTACAAGTAACCATAGGCCAGCTTTACAGAAGGGATTTAGCTACTCCAACACACAAGGTACCTATATCCTACCACCATCTGGTAGAGCTTCATTACAGACTGCTCAGAGCTTGTCTTGTCCCTAAGCGGCTTCAGTCTGACAAAGCAGGAGGAAACAGTTTCTGATGAACAAGTAGGGATGGGAGTGATCTGTGTGTGACAACTGACATCTTGGCCACCACTGAAGCCTGAACCTCACGCTCTCACAGCTAACATTACAACACAAGCTGCAGAGCCAGTGTCTGCATGGGTGGCTTTTTTTCTGGGCATTAGAGGAATGTAGACAGCACTTCACTAGCCTGCCTGGTCAGGTGACAAATCTCATACTTTCTGGACTCTTACATAATAATTTGGGGCAGAAAGGTGCATTTATGGGTATGTGCTGAAGTAAAGAAATGATCAACACTTTGAAGGGTTATATGCACCACTTGAGAGGGGGAAAGTATTGCTAAACRTGTTAGCTATAAGCAAACTGACTCAGAGAGGAAGAGTAACTTCCATATGCTAAGGCAGGTTTTTTTGGAACAGGCTCCTGTTCCAAAGATCTGARATTCTCTGTTCAGAGATCTGAGAAGTTTTGGGTTCCATTTCCTCTTATTACTACTAAATAATTTTGAGCTTTTAGCAGTTTTCAGAGCCTGAACCATTTCCATGAAGGAATGCAGACAGCTGGACAGGGTATGTGAATCCCTGCAGTAGGTCAGTCTCATCTTTATTTCTTTTGCAGTTTCTTCAGAAGGGGCCAATACATTCTTAAGGATCCCAGTGGTGTAGGGCAAAAATGACAACACCAGAACATCCCACTTGCAAACTTGAAAAGTAAAGCTCAAAGATGCCCCAAAGCAGTACTACAGACTGAGAAAAGCAAAAACTGAAGAGAGCAATGGTAGCCCATTCTAAAATAATACATATATAAATTATCTGTATGAAAGTAACTTACAGTTAGGAACCCCTTTACTTTACACTGCTCCTCCCCACTCTACTCAGACTGTATTTCAGGAAAAGCACAATGATTGCTGCTAATAGTTGGATCTAATTTATAAGGAGCTGAGAGGAGACAATCACAAGAAAATGAGACAGATAAACTTCAGCTGGAAACAATAGGGATCAATTATGACATAATCGCAGCCCAGCTTTCCAGGGCTCCTGAGATACTGCGCCTTCCTCTTCATTAATCAGAGATAATCCAGAATTAGGGTGTTTAATTATTTGCAGAGATTCTTTTGTACTTTCTACCTCTAAAACGAAGATGCTGATTAGCAAGTGTACAAAAGCTTTCCAGCCCCAGTCACCCGTTGCATTTAGAGYGGGATTTTTGGCTGCAGAGTTGCTGTCATATTGAAGCCTTCAGTCCCTTCAGGTGAAATTCACCCCTGTGCTGAGGAACCTGCTGGATCAGTAGAGCTGCATAAAGGCTATAATGAAGGGAACAGGAGGCATTTATCCTGTTTAATGCCCAACATACTAGTGGGGTCTATCCATTTCTTCCTCCTACTGCTTTTGGTGCATTTTATGGTAACAAGACAAATGAAAACTCAGCTTCTAGTTCAGTATAGTGGCAAGGGAATAGCACTGACTCTAATCTTTTARCCCTTTGATTTGTGTGTTCTGTGGGGTGGCTTCTGTACACAACACCAAGTGTGTACATAATCTTCTTCCTGCCTGTTGTCACCAGAACAGAATCTAGGATCTTGTGAGTTAAGGACATGAGTCACAGCACTCCCTTTAAAACATCGTTGTCCCTTTAACAGAAGCAGATCTAGATTTTACAGGGATTTTGACACACGGAGATATATAACCTGTGCTGAACAGGGACTTACGTGTGCTCAAGTCTTTTTTTCTTTTCTCCTTTCTGGATTATAGAGSTAGAGAGGCTGCTTTAACTGTCTTACCAAGTTTCCTGCAGAACGGACAGAATTTCAGAGTTGGGACCTACCGCTGTCATTGCTGAGGGTGTAAGACTGCTCTYGTGGGATATCTGGTGCTGTGGGATAACTATATTTTCTGAGTTATTGAGGCAGAAGATTGCCAAACTAACTAAATAAATGAATAAATAAGAAGAAGCTGTCCAGAACTCAGCACCATAGACCCCTTAGATCCTCCTGTATTGCTAAGCTGGATCTAGTTTCAGTTCAGGTCTCTCACCTGGGGACTCTTGTGCTCCTGACAGCAGAGGATGAACTTTACTGGAAGCACTGCAGGGAGGCTCCTTCCTCTCCTACGTCTTCCAAGACGCAAACTTTACGCTTCAGGCAGAAAAATGCCCCAGATCCAGCTCTATCTCCTACCCGACYGCATGCTCCAACCACTGCTGTGCTTGCTTTGGGGTGCACCATAGAGAAGTTACTTCTGCAGCCATATGAAGTGCRTGCCCCATAGCTCAGAACATCACCCACGGCTTCAGGCAAGGCTCGTGCAGCTTACTGGCTGTGACTCTGGTGAAGTGTAGGTGGGAAACTGGGACCTACCTTTTCAGAGCAATGCTTGCATCAAGGTTAAGTGGAGGATTTGGAGGTTCACCAAAAGGGGGACCTTTTGGAGTTCTAGGGAGTGGGCTGGTTAGGACTGAAGTCTTTGAAGTCTCATTGCTATCTGACACTTGGATAATCTGCCTAAATCTCAATTTAGGTGGAATTCAAGCCTTCTGGATTTTACCCAAAATAAGTATCTTGCAAGTGATGTGTGTCACGTTTCTAGCAGATGGAAAGCATTACAGACTGGGAATAACTTTGTGGGAGTTGTGGCCCGCCTGACTGTCTCCTAAGACAAGGGCACTACTCTTACTTCTCTGTTGGATTGACTGCTCTGTGAGTGTGTGAGTGTGTGTGTGAGCGTCTGTGTGTGTGTAAATTAGGAGCTTCACATTCTCAGTAAATAGCACCAGCAAATGGAAGCTGGTAATATTAACTCTGTCAAGGCTCAGTATTGATCCTGAGCAGCTCACTGAAATGCAAGCCTGAGACTGCAGCCGGCTCACACTAATAATTAAACTGGTTAGCAATATGGAACTGCCACTCAGATTCAAACTTATAATGAAATTGTTGAAGAAAAAAATAATAAGAGAGAGAGAGAGCACAAATGAATACAACTCTGCAGACTTGGTCTCCTTTGGTACCAGTTTCTTACACATCTCAGACATTATTGCCTTTATTATTACTCACTTTGACTCCTTTGTCATTAGATTTTATTCTGTACAATTCCAGGTGGAGGCAGATGGACATATGGGTTTTCTTTCTTTTCTCCTTTTTTTTTTTCCTCTCTCCTCTGCTTTTCCCCATTTACTGAGTTATTTGGTGAATGGATYATTTAACTGCCTAGCATTATGATGACTGAAGTTCCTTTAGGTCAGCCCAACCTATCACCTTCCAGTGGAGCAGMCACCATCTTTTGGCGTCATGGATCTCTCATCGCCAAAATAGCATAAAAGGATGCCCACAATTTTTTTTTTCAGGCATTTGTATCAGGAAGACTGGGCTTTGCTGACTTATATCAAACTGGTCCCTGCTGCACYCAATTGCCAGTGTGAAGTCTCTTTCTGCCAGCAGTGATTTTATGGAATAGCAACATCTTGCTCCACTGTATCACTGTGGTTTGGATTTTTCTCCTTCCTGTTGCAAAAATATGCTGGTTGATGTTGTCACATGTCAAAATACCCAGTGAGATATGAACTGCATCTGCAAGACTGGTCTCTTCCCTGATGCTGCACATTCCAGCACAGTTTATGATATATTATACGCAGATCAATATTTAATGGACGCATTATGCTGTCAAGAGAAGAGGGCTTCCTATTGAAATTGAAGTTACTTTGTCTAGAAAGTGACTGGAAAAAAAATGGCCCTGATATTCAACAGAGCAACCTTGTTGAAACACCTAGGCTGTAGAAAAGGATCCTATGTGATATCCAYGTAACAAGCAATGTCAGAAAAAAATGACAGGAGGAGATGAGGTATCTCTGAAAGTTCAACACTCACACATTTCAAAGAGTGGATGCCCAATGAGCATWATGTTTAAATCAGTGCCTGTACCCTTGTTGTGACGACTGATTGGTGTATCTCTATGCAAAGGCCAATTAAAGAAGGGGAGGACCTGGGGCTGGTAGGTGAGAAATAAACCTAGACAGCAGAGATCTGTATCTGGCTCTTCTACTAACCTGCCATATGGCCTCAGGGAGGTGTTTTCTTTCTGCTGTTTTCCCCCTTGTCTTTACCTGCCTTATCTACTCAGACTCAGGCTTCTTTGGGGCAGAGCTTCTTCCCTAAGGGATGTCTCTCCCTATCCAAGCTGGAGCTTTGGATATTACTGTGAGACAAGTAATAACATCTTAATGAGGTGCCAAATGAGACAGGGTAGGAACTGGTGAGTCAAGATTTGAAACAGAAAACTTGACTTTGCTTAAAGAAAAGATGAGCCTGTTTCCGGGGGGAAAAAAACTCCCAACTTTCCTGTGGCAGGTGAAGAAAGCACGTTCTGTGAGGATATCAAGGCCCTGAAAGGTGTTCAAAGGGAGGCCGTGCCCTGCAAGTTAGCTGCAGCACAGGGGAGTTTGCATGCAAAAAGACAACTCACTAGGGCTGTCTGTTTTTAAGTGCAACCAGCTCTTCATTCTTATGCATAAGTAGAGAGTGACCAGCAAAGAAATAGCCTCTCCTGGCAAAGTTGACCCATTCTAATATGAGAGATGCTGTCCTGATACTGACCTAGAGAATGGGAAATAATATATGCATCAAGACCGGGTTTAGCTTGAAGCTAAAGCCGCAGAATCACACAGAATCATACAATTGTTGAGGTTGGAAGGGACCTCTAGAGATCATCTAGTCCAACCCTCCCTGCTCCAACAGGGACACTCAGAGCACAGGGTGGCATCCCGGTGGGTTTGGAAGATCTCCAGAGAAGGAGACTCCACAGCCTCCCCGGGCAGCCTGTGCCAGGGCTCTGGCACCCTCACAGGAAAGAAGTTCCTCCTCACACGGAGATGGAACTGCCTGTGTTTCAACTTACACCCATTATCCCTTGTCCTATCACTGGCCACCACTGAGAAGAGCTTATATGCACTATGAGCAAACATGAGCAGTATGTCACGAGCCACCATCTCACCTTTGCTGTTGCCATCGGGTCCCCGAAGGATTGTGCACTCCTCAATGTTGCCAAACGCCTCGAATAGCCTGCGCACGTCGTCTTCTGACTGCTGCTTATTGAGCATACCCACAAAGAGTTTTCTGTCTTCTGGAACAAAATAAAGAGATGCTTACCATATTTCAGGAGGGATGTGAAAGCCAAGATGGCTCAGCATCACAGGCAAAAGAAACAGTGACTTCATTGAGATGACATGTTTCAAAAGCTGCTAGTCATTTCAGGTGCCTTGCTCTTAGCACCTTAATAGCTTTTGATTTTCAGTGAGTACTTGAAAATAATTTACGAATTTGAAAAAAGAAAAATCCAATAACTCATCGACAACTAAAAAGTTATAACAGCTTCTGAAAATCTAGAGTCTTCCAAATCATCTTTTTCTGCTCWTTTTTTTTTTTTTTTTGCAGTCAATTTGCAGGAACTGAAAAAAGAGCATTTCTTATACTGCCTTCCAAAAAGAATGTAGATAAAGATGGCCATGTTATTTTTTAATTGGACTTTATTTCTGTAAGTTAGTAGCCCTCACAGTGCTATATAAATTGCAGAAAAAAACACTGTTTAACATAAGCTGGTTTAAATCAGCAATGAATTTATTTAACAGAAGCCACCGCCTGTAAATGGAGATTTGTCATCCATACCCACTCATAGACACATACTTACAAAACGATGTTTCTTCTTATATATATATTTTAAGTTCATTTGATATGAGCCAGAAGCTTTTGAAACATATTATTTTTTAAAAACAGAAAGTTAACTTATACGAACAGTAGTCTCTGAGACAGCTGAAGGAGGTACTATTTCACATGAAAGTGGAATGTGGTCTGCAGGTAGATAATCTTATTTTAAATAAMGCAGGCTTTTCATACTTGGATTTATACCACGTATGATGAGCTTCTGTGAAGAAGCTGAAGGAAAGGAATCCCTTGAGGAAATTTTGGTGAAAATAGAGACTAAATCAATGACCACTGAGTTGGTATAAAGATTTCTGAGGGCTCCAAGCAATGCTTCTAGATCAGGTTTATGTTAAAAGCAACATGACTAGTATTACTACACCATTAAAAATAAGAAAAAGAAATTTACATAGTTTACATCGTGTATGTAAACAGGCCATTTGCACATGATTCATAAATGTCTTATTTATCATTCATTAAACACTATGTAAATGTGTGAACCAAGAGCTTTTTTTCAGAGCAGTTTACAGAGCAGATGCAACCAATTTGAATAAATATATGTAAATAAATAAATAAATGCTTTGATTTTTTATTTATTTATTCTTAATGCACATGAACCTAAAGCTGAACAAAACATTGGTTTGCAACAACCCTTTTCCAGCTGACTAATTGGGTGATTTATGTCAGTTTTGTTCACCGAGAAATTGGTGGTGTAGGCAATCTGTTCTGCTTCAACCAGTGTTTGATCAAAATTCCCTTCTCCAAGATGCACCTGCAAATTGGCAAATTACTTTATAGCCTTGGATGAGGATAATTTTTCATGCAGTCGGTATCAAGTGAGGATATTAGGAGCTTTCAGTCCTGCAGTGGAGTTATCCACACAAAGTAGAGGTATACTGTCCCTAGAAAACAGGGCGTTATGTAGACTACTTAGACTATTGAAATGTTAGAAAAGAAAATTAGGTTGAGGCTACATACACATTTTTGATAGGGGAAAAAAAAAACAAGGATCAAAAGAAGATTTTTAAGTACCCATGAGAGAAACTGTGGGAATGCTTTCCAATAGGAAAGCTGAAAAGAAATCTGCCTACTTTACAATGAACTGATTAGTTAACGAAGGGACTCTCTGAGGTCTTTTTGCTGGCAACACAGAGGTCAGGCTTCAATGATGCATGAAGCCCCTGCTCACCCTGGGTAGGTTGTCCCCATCACAAGAGAAGCAGCTTTGGACACCTCAAAGGCTCATTTTCTGGATGGATATGTTTGGGAAATAAAAATGACACTGGAGATTAAGCTCAGTGAAGTGACTATGAGCCCCAAGAACTGCATCTGGGGAACCTCTACAATCCCCACAGGATTTTTCCCCACCCAAAAATGTTTTTGCCTGTGTTTTGTCAAATCATTTTATGAAATTTTAATCCTTTAATGTCAAAGAATGGAAGAATGGACTAAATAGCAAAAAAGCTCCCTGCAGAGCAGTCACTAGGGGTCTGCAGAGCTTCCTGCATTTCTTTTCCCTTCTAGTCCAGCACTACATAATATCTTAAAGAWAGAGTTGAGTCCAAAGCCTAACTTCTACAGATATCTGAGGAAAATTGCTCTGGAAAGTGTGAACAGCTGACCTGCAAAACAGGAGACCTTTTAGGATGGGGGCAGAGGTGTGGGAACAAGCTGGGAACACAATTCCCAAAAGACTTTGCCTGGAAAGTTTATATCCAGTAAATACTTCCAGTGTCTGCTATATTGTACTTTATAGAGTTTCCTGTCTAAAATGAGCTGAATCAGCAAAAACACTCCTATACAGGATAACTGTATTTTCAACGGTCCTTTTGCTAATATAAATGTATCATTAAAAAAGAAAAAAAAAAAACAAACCTCCACATCCCTCCTCTGTCAGCAAAACTCTATAGTAGAATGGAACTGGCCTTAAGTTGCCTCATCTGGTTTAGTTTAGACCAAGCTTAAGCTGGGGGTGTTGGGAGCTCCTTTATATTCTATTGTACTTTATCCCCTCATCTTCTTTCKGTATCTCCCCAGGACACTGGAGGGGTGACACTTGTCCCTGGGGCTGGCAGGAAGCACAGGCCAGCAGCAAACAACCAGGATTGGAGACAGTTTTGAGGGCTGCCCTCAAGCTGGTCATCTGACCATCAGGAATCCACAGAGGGCAAGGACCACATCCCAAGGAAATGCTGGATCTGCCACCGTAGCTGAGGTAGCCAGAATGGGACCCATTCCAGCTCCGGCTGGAGATCACCTCCAGCACCRGCCTGAATTGGGTGCTCGGCCTCCCTCCTGGAAAGCTGTGCTGTGGGCTGTCAGGGGAATCATTTGTCACATCCACTGTCTTCTTAGAAATCTACACAATCACACACTCAGCTGATAAAAAATGAGTCAGTTTAACAAGCTTTTTTTTTTTTTTTTCCTTCCCTCCAAGATGTTCTTTTAACAGAATGCTGGGTTTTCCTTTCACATCGCAGCCCTGACAGGGAGCTCGGTAGTACAATTTAGAAACACATCTCACACACTTTGGGTGGGAAGAGAAAGGAAGGCTGCCCTGCACCTGGGACCATCCAGCAAGCTCCTGATCTTGGCCAACAGGCTTTTCCCTTCATAGGTTTATGGGGCCCCAGTGACCCCCAGATCCCCTTTGCCCGATCCTGAACAAASAGCTGACATGAGATGCACCACAGCAACTACCTCCACTTTGTCAAATACGCCTGTACAAGATGTTGTGACTGCCAGAATGAAATGCAGAGTGGATGTGCTGGTCTCCATGGGGCACATCTGCATGTGTATGCACAACATATGCACGCCCCAAACCCTCCCCCAAGCTTGACCAGCATTCTCTAATGAGAGTAGGGTTCWGCAAATTGCTATATAATCATATAGGCCCAATGGTCTTGGCTGTTACATGCCACAGAAATTAAAACTTAAGGTTACACACAAGCCTGAAGCTGTCCCCAGGTCCTGCCATCCCTGAGTTCTGACCAGCTGCAGGGTGTAGGGCCATGTCTCCCGTACCACCCTGCTCAGTCCCATGCATCCTCCTTCTTCAGCAAGAGACTGCGCCACATGCTCTAGGTGTCCCTGCTTGAGCAGGAAAGTCAGACTAGATGATCTCTAGAGGTTCCAACCTTAGTCATTCTGTAATTCTGTGATTCTGTGACTGTCCTAAACTGTCACATCACAGGACTCACATCTTCAGAAGCTGAATTCCCCTCAATTCCTTATGCCCTCCATAGCCACAGTCAATAATTTCATACCCATTTCATATTCTGGAGACAGAGAGGTGAAAATACTTTGGCTAAGACCAGAGTGCCAGAAGAACAGAAATATCATTGTCGAGGCATTGAATGGAAGCACAGAAAGAGGCCAGACAGAAACCCATGGTGTGGGATACCCTCAGCATGGGCGGTAGTCATGACTATGTGCTCTAGCCTAAGTCAGTCTAGGCACTCTCCGTGGTCAATGGAGAAAGACTAGTAGCCCTCAGTACCAAGCAGTGTATCTTATACACAGAGGTGGACAGTCCTTGAGAGAAGCACCTACCTCATCCCTACAAGGGGACCTATCTAAGGTCAAGTGTGACGAAACCGTACATAGCTTCCCTAAAGCCACACATGAGCTGCTGAGTCATGTTTCTGAGCACCTCCTCTTTCTTGTGTCTAGGCCTGTCAAAATTTCTGTCCATTATACATACCAATGTGACAGTTGCTGTTTTTATCCGAGGGCTAAATTTTACTTTTTGGTGAAGAAACTTCGCTATTCTGCCTGAAGAGACAGCCCTTACCCCCACCAGGACTCTATCCCACAGTGAGGTGGCTGAGCAAGGTGTCCACTTGGGCCTCTTCTCCCCACAGTTTCATTTTTCCATTATCAGTTCTTCCCCACTCCTTGCACCCCTCCTGCCTGCTTGGCCCATGGACATTTTGGAGCAAGAGATATTAATTTCTCTGTGCTACTGTAACAAGAAAAGCCCTGAAGGTTTTCACTGATGCAGCATGAGACCCTCACCACGAAAGTCCTGAGGCAATCCTGTAAAATAAGAAATAAAGTTCATCTGTTTCTCCACAGCGCAGCAACGACAGGATCCAACACTTCTTGTCCTTCCCATAGAGGAAAAAGTCTCACCTATGGCAAATCAGAGTATCCGAAAATTTCAGGCACGTTCCTTGCTGACATTTCTAACGTTTCCATGAATTTAGGCCCCCCTTTTGCTCAAGGCCACAATGCCTTGCTCGAGTCAGGAAAAACCGGCTGCAAGGCACAGCTGTGAAGAAACCGAAGTTGTCAGATAAATATACAGTGTCTGTAAATCTCCCCGGCTGTGTTTATATGAAACCTCTGCACCTTCCCCAGTGCAAATAGGGGTTAAATTATTCCCTGTTCTATTTGTATTTAAATGTTATGTTTCTATGATAA